CAATTTCAAATCTCAATATAGTTCTTTTGTCTTCAATATATTTTGGGTACTTGTATATCAGTCATTCACGATGAGAACAAGTTGTTTGCATGCATAGTATTAAAATGGGTAAGCGGGGTTGATGAAAGTGGAGCCTAAGAGTATCTCTAAGGGAGATGTCAAATACCAAATATTAAATTTAAATTTGATGGTTGATGTGGCAATTTGACATCTTATACAGCTTTACACTCCACCCGATATGTCAAATTAAATTATTATTTTATTACATTTTAGTGTTAATTCATTTGTAGTTAAAAAGAAAAGAAAAGAAAAAGTATTTGACATCTTGCTTTTGGGATGTCAAAAATAACATCTCAACCTCCAGCCTTCATTCCGCATCAGCTTTGACACATCGGTTGGAGTGATATGAGATGTTATTTATAGCTGTTAAATGTCTATGTGGTACGTTTGACACATCGGTTGGAGATGCTCTTAGAGTGACACTTCCACTAAAGCAAGCCATGTTCTTGACCTACTTGCTTTAATTTGTCTGAGCTGAATTATTAGGAGAAGAGACTGGTTTTTTCTTGCCTTAGTTGGATAGGCCTCTTGATCATGAGGCATGCCACGTGTGAGAATTGATTGACTTGTCACGTTTCATAAGAGCATCTCCAAGGGAGATGTCAAATACCAAATATCAAATTTAAATTTGATGGCTGATGTGGCAATTTGACATCTTACACAGTTCTACACTCCACCCGATATGTCAAATTAAATTATTATTTTATTACATTTTAGTGTTGATTCATTTTTAATTAAACATAAAAGAAAATAAAAAATAATAAAATATTCATTTGACATCTTGCTTTTGGGATGTCAAAAATAATATCTCAATCTCCAGTCTTCATTCCACATCAGCTTTGACATATCGGTTGGAGTGATGTGAGATGTCATTTTTAATTGTTAAATGTTTATGTGACACGTTTGACATATCGGTTAGAGATGCTCTAAGGCACCATATTCATCCTACTATATACTCTTTGTTTTTTACAGCCTCTTGCCAGCTGATGAACCATCATCATCATCATCATAATATGAGCGAGACTATGATCCTTTGCCAAACATCAACATTTTTTGCCACATACAGCGGTCTTAGGTTCGAACTCCCATGATACATTGACAGTATTGTGAGAAAATCACATTCTCTCAATATCATTTGTATTAAAAAAGATGTGCGCATATGACTGTCAGCCGTACATATGTCAACGCAGTGTTTCAGGAGCACTACTATTCTTATTGCTCAACATTAAAATATTCATTCACTTTGTTTCTTTTTAGATATGTATGATGATGAGGTCTTCCGGTTCGACGTGGGCTAATGTTTTATCATATCCCTTTTTTTCTTTGTCAGACGTGGGCTTATGCCACTCCACCTTGTTATTTGCTTCATTGTAGAGAGGACCTATGCCATTGCCAAGTTGAAAGCTCATTGGTGCTTCATATAAAAGCATATTCTAAAATGCAGCAGGGAATTGTTTCAATGATGGGGGCCTGCTAAAGCTCAATAAGGCTATATTTATATATGTATATATTATATATATGTGTGTGTGTGTGTGTGTTCCATTTGTTTTTCCCTTATGGAGTTGGCTAGAAGCAAGAGGAAGCCTCTTTCCCAAGTACCTTAATGAAAACAGCCCCAAAATACGCATAAACAACCATAATTCTGATATCAAAGAAATGCCAATGAAGCTTGCAAGTAAGAAAAAAAAAAGTTCTGATATACCAGGGGCCCATAGGATTAGTAGGCAGCACTCTAGCTACAAATAACTCCTCTGGAAAATGACATCTGGCCCACATAAGCACAACAGTAGTGAAGCATTTTCATAGATGGCACTTTGCAAGAACCTCCCTTGAAGGTAAAGCTTAGCAGGGCTTGTAGAACTGGATTTGGGGGGCTTGGTTGGTGCAATTATAAAAATGCACCTTTCAAATATACCTTAATCCATTTTTAACTCTCAGGTTTCTAAAATCTTCTCCTTGGTTTAGCAATCCCAGCCTTTAAGTCAGTCAAAGGCAATGTGTGTCCCTTTCAGTGTTTTGCTTGCACGGTTTCATGTACATCACCTTCACAATTCTTACCTAATTAATGAGCCACACAAACCCCTTTAACAAACTCAAAAGAGATGCAACATATTTGCCTCTGCACATTCATATAAATATATTTGGCATCTTTGTCTTCATGCCTCATTGCCTCATTGCCTCATCAAATAAACACACCACAATTGAAGTTGTGATCAACAGAGAGAAAATGACTAGCAGCTGCTGGAACAGATTCTTCTGTGGGTTGGTGTTTCTTTGCTTTGGGTTTCTTGGCTCAATCACTTCTCCAGCAGAAGCTGCCATAAAGAAATACCAATTTGATGTGAGTTGTTTCAAATGCTTTAATATCATTTGCATGCACAAACATACAACCTTCAAACTACATATTGAAAAAGAAAAAAAAAAGTTGTACTTTGTGCATGGCTTTCCATTTGATAACATCCTCTGTGTTTTCACAGGTCCAAGTGAAAAATGTGAGTAGATTGTGCCATGCAAAATCCATTGTTACTGTAAATGGAAGGTTTCCGGGGCCGACCATCTATGTCAGGGAAGGAGACAGAGTTGTCGTCAATGTTACAAACCATGCTCAATACAACATGTCAATTCACTGGTAAGAGTTTAACCAAATAATTAACCAACAAATAAGTGACCAAATCAAAATCAAATAATCAGCATGCCTTAGCTTATAGCTGATTGAGTTATGTGTTCTTACAGGCATGGAGTGAAGCAATATCGAAACGGTTGGGCAGATGGACCGGCTTATATAACACAATGTCCAATTCAAACCGGAAGCAGCTACACTTATGACTTCAATGTAACAGGGCAAAGAGGAACTCTATGGTGGCATGCACACATTCTTTGGTTGAGGGCCACCGTCTATGGTGCAATTGTTATCATGCCTAAACAAGGCACCCCATTTCCTTTCCCACAGCCACACAGGGAAGCTGAAATTATACTCGGAGAATGGTGGAATGTCGATGTGGAAGAGTTTGTCAAGAAAGCAAACAACTTGGGATTGGCACCCAACACCTCTGACGCACACACAATCAATGGGAAGCCAGGGCCTTTGTTTCCTTGCTCTGAGAAACGTAAGCACAATTAATCAGAGAAAACACAAGTATATGAAATTTTGGGATCAAGTCCAAATCACAAAGGTGGTTGGCATGCAAATTGCAGAAGTTCTAATTCCGATTTTGTTCTGTTTTTCTTGGTTTAGATACTTTTGTTATGGAGGTTGAGCAAGGGAAGACCTATCTACTGAGAATTATCAATGCTGCTCTCAATGATGAACTTTTCTTCGCCATTGCCGGTCACAACCTGACAGTGGTGGAGGTTGATGCAGTGTACACAAAACCATTCACTACTCAAGCCATACTAATTGCACCTGGTCAGACCACAAACGTTTTGGTACAAGCCAATCAAGCTTCAGGCAGATACTTCATGGCTACTAGGCCTTTCATGGATGCTCCAGTTCCCATAGACAACAAGGAAGCCACAGGAATATTCCAATACAGAGGCATCCCCAACACTGTTCTACCAAGCCTTCCTCAACTGCCTGCATCTAATGACACATCCTTTGCTTTAAGCTACGGCAAGACACTCAAGAGCTTAAACACTCCAAATTTTCCAGCAAATGTTCCTCTCAAAGTTGACAGAAAGCTCTTCTACACAATTGGTTTTGGAAAAGAATCCTGCCCAACTTGCCTTAATGGAACAAGATTTGTTGCTTCCTTGAACAATATCTCTTTTGAGATGCCTCAGGTTGGGCTTCTACAAGCCCATTACTTCAATCTTAAGGGAGTGTTCAAAACTGACTTTCCTGATAGGCCACAAACTCCTTTCAATTATACTGGTGCACCACTTACAGCCAATCTTGGGACTTCCACAGGGACTAGGCTGAGCAAGATTGCCTTCAACTCTACTGTTGAGCTGGTGTTGCAGGACACCAACCTTCTAACAGTTGAGACACATCCATTCCATCTTCACGGATACAATTTCTTTGTTGTTGGAACTGGGATTGGGAATTTTGATCCTGCCAAGGACCCTGCTAAATACAACTTGGTTGATCCTGTTGAGAGAAATACAGTAGGAGTTCCCACAGGTGGTTGGACTGCCATTCGTTTTAGAGCTGATAATCCAGGTATGACAATTGCAAATAATTATTTCAAGTAATGTTACATGCACCACATTTACTTACTTGTAGGTTATTTACTTATTATATGCTTTGCTTCCTGTTTGAATGTCTAGGCGTTTGGTTCATGCACTGTCATCTGGAGCTTCATACAGGCTGGGGACTGAAAACAGCATTCGTGGTAGAAGATGGACCAGGATCAGATCAATCTGTTCTGCCTGTGCCTAAGGATCTTCCGCCATGCTGATGACGCATGGACTCTGTTCGTATCAATCTGGTTTAAGTTGGACAATAGCCTACTTACACTTCTTGCAAAAGTTGCAGAAGGTTTCTTGAGGGTTACAAACTGTTATCAAAGTTAAAAAGAATCAATTTGTGTTAGACTGGTAATGTAACAAATTACACCATGCTAATATTCTGTGTAATAATTGTTTCCTTTCATCATATTCCTTCTGATTGATATTGGAATCGTTTATATAACCACATACTGTGTACTTCCATTCTGATGCATCTTTACATGGCCACTTTTTTGAATTCTGATCTCAACCTGAAATGGGTTGCAGCATTACAGAACCCACCATCTGCTATTCTCTTGTGACTTGTGAACGTTATCCAGCATAATATAACATTGTCACTTTGAACCCCACAATGTCACAACAAAGAGAAAATTACATAAAGAAAAATAAAATCACAAGGTATGTAGCACAAGAAATTTGGAGATGCAGACATAACAACATTCTGAAGACCCACGGGATCAAAGTTAGGAGATAGGCATTCACAATCCGCAATGACGAAGGAAAACAAGATAAAACGTTAATCTCTACATTAGTCGCACATGTTCCATCTATACTTAAAGATGTAGCATTCAGCAATCTATATTTTTGTTTCTCCCTTTGACCTGAATAATCATATCCTAATAGAAGCTCAGATGAACTTACAAATACATTGGAATATATAAGCCAGAAAAGACAATCATAAGCAAAACCGCAAAAATGATGCAATTACAATCATTCTGTCATACACATCATTCGGCAATGAGGACGAGATTATGATCAAATCCGGACACTGCTTGTAAAACTTGACAACCCTCTACAGAGTCGAGCAATATTGGTTCAGCTTCGTCACAGGAGCTTCCTAACCCAAGCCTTCCATTCTTACCACAACCCCAAACCCACACTTCTCCCTTGGATGTGAGAGCTATGGAATGCACACGCCCTCCTGACACTGTGACAGGAATTTCCCCTTCAAATCCTTCAATCACCAACGGAATATTCTCAGATCCACCTCTTCCAAGCTGAGAGCTCTGATTCCACCCCCACGTAACAATGCCTTCGGCCCCTCCTATAACATTTGATGATGGAACCTGGCAAATCGCCAAAGAATGGCCAAGCCCTGATGCTATAGACGTGGGACGGAAGCTTATGTCAACAGGAAACAACCCTAAATCCTGTTTTTCTCTGCCCAATTGACCATATACGTTGCTCCCACAGCTTAGTAGTGTTCCATCACCTGAAACTTTAAAGTTAGAAAAAACAGCACACATGAATATCTATATCTGTATAAGCATATCAATGAACACAACATTACCTACCACAAAGAATTAATGAATGATCAAAACCACATGCAATGTCTACAACTTCAACAGAATGTAGTTCTCTCACTAAACTAGGTTCCCAAACTATTGGCATGTTATTCTCCTTCGCCATCCCTTCTAAAACCAGCTTCTCAGCAGCTTCCAGTGTTGAACTTGACAGTTCCCTATTATTCAAATCTCCCTGTGATTCCAGTAGAGACGTCCCCAAAGATTCTGTAATGCTTCCTAACCTACCATCAGCTGAATAACCCCAACCAAACAACTTTCCATCCTCAGTCAGTGCAAGAGCATGCCCCCAACCAAACGATACCTGCCAAAGAACATGTGTGCCCCAAAAACTTCCTTCTTATGAAGTAAACAACATTTAAGCATCCTAGGCAAAGCTCTTGCAATTTATTTATTTTCTACCAATTGTGAGTCAATTGTTGCATCATAGTGTATAACAAACTCCTACCTCAAGCATTAGAGCGCACCTTAATTATTTTCTCTCCTGCAAGTGCTTCAACTCTGGAAGGCACCACAGACTCCGTTACTTGATTTCCAAGACCAAGTTGGCCGCGCTTCGACTTTCCCCAAACCCACAAAGAACCATCATCTCCAATGGCCGCAGAAACAACACCAGATGCAAATGCAGCACAAACATTTACTTGAACCAACCCTTCTACTTTCTTTGGTACATTCCATGAATCTCTGCCACCAATAACAAAAGCTTAACATGCAGTAACTTACCATTTCATAATACACATCAAAACATGATGGGAAATAGTCAAAGAAAAACTCTAAAAAATCCAATGATGTTTCATTAGCGAGATAACTATCAACAACTCCATTAAAAAGAGGCTTCTCATTATAACCCAAAAACAAAAACAAACAAAAATGCTTTTTCATGGTTAATCTTGGCCATGCATACATACAAAACATATAAGTACCCCGAAGAAACTATTGACTCAAAAATAGGACCACGGTTATGAATTAGCACAAGACCCCTTTCGATGCAACACAAAAGAAATACATATGGAAAGGGCTAAAAAAGGGTTAACTTGTGCTGTTTCTTAGAGCTCGAAGAAGCTGAAAAGCTGAAAGCTTTACCTGGGAGAAGGGAGACCACGGCCGAGCTGGGCTTCAAGGTCTCGGCCCCAAGCCCAGAGCTGGCCTTGGGAAGTCACAGCAAGCGAGTGGTAGTGGCCGGCGGTGACGCTGATGACATCAGAAGGCAGAGAAGGGACCCGAATAGGCTCGTAAGCGTCCACACCAAGGCCCATGAGGGAAGTGGGCAAACCCAGAGCTCCATGGCTTCCGTCTCCAAAGCTCATTACAGCGCCGGTTGTGCTGCTCATACATCTCTGTAACCTTTGGATGATCACATTCACCGCCCGAGGCCCCTTCACCAGCGATCCCACTCCTGGCATCGATTACAAATTTCATTTCTCAATCTCAATTAACTGCTGATTTTGTTCTGCAATTCTGTTAGCCAAATTTGGGTCGTTTTAGCCCAAGGGTCGTGTTGTGTCCATGGGCCAATAGCACCATTAAACAAGGAGCTCGGACTGAAACATCAAATTATGATTGGATTGTAAGAAAGAAAAACTCCTAGATGTTGGGCTTGAGCAATAGGAGCATCGAGCTGGTCCAACCCACTAACAAAACTGGATTGAGCCAGATGACTGGTTTTATATTAAGGCCACTCAAAACAACAGAATATCCGAATTTCTATTTTGGGATACTTGGGCTTGGCGGGTGGTGGCACCCATTGACCCTGATCTAATTAACAATCACAGAAGATATATGGAGCGGAACCACGGAGTCACACAAACCCACCCACTCGAAGAAGATGGCGATGGTTTCTATGCTCATTTCACTCCCTACCCTGACTACTCCAAACTCCAGCCGAGTCAACCGGTGGGTTAATTTCTCTCATTCAACTCAGTAACTCATCTGCTACTTGTGAAACTCACAAAACACACCCACACACAGGTATTGGCAAGCACCAAAAAGGTCGTCTGCAATGGCTCTTGCAAGTGCCAACACAGAGATTGCTACTACAGGAGTGAAATTTGCAGAGGGTGAAGAAAAGTTACCCAAGGTCGTTTTGACTAGCGCTGGTGGCAGGTACATTGGATTGATTTTGTGCGTTGTTGCTGAATTCACATATAAAAATGAAAGATCGACTCTTTGATTGTGAATTTGTGAATTTGTTTTTGCAGTGAGGCAGATATATATCTGTTTGGTGGTTGTATTACCTCTTGGAAAGTTCCAAATGGAAGGGACCTCCTTTTTGTTCGACCTGATGCTGTCTTCAATAAGAAAAAACCAATCAGGTTGTTTTGGATTTCGTGGGTTCATTTTCTTGACTTTCAATTTTGAAAGTAATTTGCTTTATATGTTTTTGTTTAGATTTGAGCCATACAAACCAATATGCTTCTTGCTATATCTGTTGGGTTTAAGCTACCGGTTGACTTTGTAATGTGTTCTAAAACGAGAACAATTTAAATGATCATTTCATTCACAAACCTCACTTGGTTTTGGTTTAGTTTGGAAATATGGTTACTTGCCTTTGTGTTTGTATGTTTTAAACGTCTGAGTTCCTTTGAATAGTCATTTTGCCTGAAAGCTTGGGATTTTCGTCAGATACTGACTATTCTCTCTTGGGATAGTGGAGGCGTTCCACATTGTTTTCCACAGTTTGGACCAGGCGCAATTCAGCAGGTACGGTACTCTATTTTTTTTTCCAAATCCACCAGCATTGTGGCCTTTAATTGTATCTTTGATTTTACGAGCTCAATTGATTTCAGTGGTCTATCAGATACATCGTTCTGACGAGTGCAAGCAAATTAAAAACCTAAACACTTAAAACCCCGAGCAATGGCAATTGATGGATATTTTTATATATAGACTACGAGGATTTGAAGTTTGATGATAGGTTTGATAGATTTCTTGATAAAATTTACAAAATCACACTGCTTAATGTGATATGGTGGTAGTGAGTCTACTGACATTGTTGCCACCATTAAGGATTCCCGTCTGGAGATCCAGATCTTTGTTATGGCTGCATGATGTATATATGACTGCATTATCAGCCTTCTGCTATTGTACTGAGGCTTGGAGATGTTTCTTCAATTAATAGCATGGATTTGCAAGAAACCTGGACTGGTCCGTCATTGATTCTGAAAATGTGCAAGGAGATCCTGCCATAACTTTAGAACTAAAGGATGGTGAATACAGTCGTTCCATGTGGGATTTCAGCTTTCAAGCTTTGTACAAGGTCAGTTGCAGATATCTCTCTATAAAAATGATGCTTGTCTAGCTCACACTGGTAATTCACTGCCACCTTGGTGCACCATGTTCTACACAACAATACTGTATTAAACTACATGCACAATATTGAATTCTGCATTATGTGGATTAGGTAACAAAACTTCTAATGCGTTCCAATGATTGCAGGTCACTTTGCAAACAAAGAGCCTTTCCACCGTACTTGTAATTAAAAATACGGACAGCAAGCCATTTTCATTCAGCACCGCATTGCACACATACTTCCACGTAAGTATAATATTCTCCCTCAGTGATTCAATTGTCGTTCTGGCATAACGAAATTAGCAGTGTTGAGGACTCATTTGAGGTGGAAATGATTTAGATATTAAAAAAAGAAATTGGAATTGTTAGAAGAATTGAATGTGGAAGTTAATGTAATAGAATAAAGATAAGGAGAAAATAATTACTTCAAAAGTCTGAAAATACTAGGAATCGCACATCCATGTGCACAGATTTTGAAATTGATTGCATTAAGTAGTGTTGAAAAATGATTGTAAATCATTAACATTAGCCTTTATCATGCAGGCTTCTGCACAAGGGGCATCTGTTAAAGGTTTGAAAGGCTGCAAAACACTGAATAAAGATCCTGACCCCAAGAATCCATTGGAGGGCACGGAAGAAAGGCCTGTATCATTTTCATGAAATGCTTCTATAACATGGCAAAAGCAAAATGAATTCAATTCTTTATTTTTCAGTTTATTGGCTGGGTAAATGAGGTTAATGGGGCAGTGGGTTTTCTTAATTAAAATGCTTTTATCTAGCTTATTCACTTTTCTGCAACATCTTTAGAAACCCTTTTCGCACAGATTGCTAGGCATTTCTGATTGTTATCTTAATGACACAGGGATGGGGTCACTTTTCCTGGATTCGTGGATTGCGTATACCTGGAAGCCCCTAATGAGTTGCATCTTGATAATGGCTTGGGTGACATAATATCTATCAAGAACACTAAGTGAGTGTAAATCTCTGTTTCACAAGTTTAGGTAAGATTTTATCAAAATAACTCTGTTTCACATGCTTGACTCCCCTGTTCTTTTTTCTCGTGTAGTTGGACAGATGCTGTTTTGTGGAACCCCTATCTGACGATGGAAGCATGCTACAAAGATTTTGTTTGTGTGGAAAATGCAAAGGTAATAACTTCCCTGTTTCTTCAATTGTGACTATTTGAACTTGACCAAAACGGGTTTGTCTATCTAATACTGCCGATTCCGGATATAATCGAGACAGTATGTATACTTATCAGACTGCTAAATTAATTCTATTTCTGTTAACTGTAAGATGCCATGTTCATTTCAGATTGGAAACGTCCAGCTGGAGCCTGGTCATACTTGGACTGCTACACAGCATCTTAGCATCAATTGAAGAGTGGCTGATCACTGTTATTCAATTTTGTAGAAATAATGTATCATCTATTTTCCTTGAGTCTTTTATTTTGTGGTATACAAAGCTTTGAAGCTACAAAACAAGTAAAGCTTACTAATAATGGGAGATCCTGTATATGCTTTCATTCTGAATATAGTGTTTCCTCTCTCTCTCTCTCTCTCTCTCTCTCTCTCTCTATTTGCACTAGCCAGCTCCAGCTCCTCAATTTGCTACTGGATTGCTGTTAAACAAATTTCGACCAGCCTAGTTCCCAAGCACAGTTATTGATTTTATAATTTCAATGAGCTGCATATAAATTACTCAAAATCCAATTCCGAATCCCGAACAAATGGGAAATTGACAGAGTAGCAAAGATGCAGCATTGTCATGTTCATGCACATAGGAAGAAACCAAATAAACTGAAGGGAAAAATAACTAACCAAAACCTAGTTTGAAATTCTCAACTCAATTAAGCAAATCTAGTTCATTAACATTCTCTGTCGATTAACAGAACCTCAAAATGCACAAAGAGAAGTACTCTTCTCAACCAACAAGCAACAGCCAATAAAGCGGTAGATAAACTACTCTATGAGCTCAGAAAGCTCAGGAAATATTAATATTCACAGACCCCTAAAATCCCTCAACACTATCATCCACTTCAGCTTTTAGACCCCATAAAAAATTCTGACTCTTTTCTGTTCAAGAAGCCAGCGTAGAAATGACACAAACCAGAAGTATAATCAGAACCACAGCCCAAACCCAATAAACCCATTTCTTACTCTTCTTCTTCATCTGGCTGGCATAGTAAAGGCTGTTTGTCCCTCCATTGATAAAATAACTTGCATTGGCCACATTCTCTTCAATATTGTCAATGTCTTCACCTTGTGCCTCAACCAGAACAGTCATGTCAAGAAACACCTGATGAAGCTTGTTTAGGCTTCTCTGGATATCCATGACTGCCTCATGTCTAACTTTGTTCCCCATATCCAATTCCGTCTTCCCCTCAAACAATTCAACTTTCAAACTTCCAGAAATCATCTTTTCAATCATCTCATCAGACGGCAACTCACCGATTGTGCTGTAGTACCTCCTCTTGAGATCTTCCTTGTGATCTGCAGCAATCTTTTCTCTCAAAGATTGGAAATTGTCCATCATATCCCTAAGCTTGACTCTCAAGCCACAAGTGGTGGACATTCTGGTCCGGTCAACAGTGCTTCCTTCCTTATACGCATCCGAAAATTTTCTACTGATCACATTGGACTTATCAAGCGCTTCAAGCCTTGCCTTGACAATCCTCGCCTTTCGAAGCACTGCCACCATATCGGATTCCATCCGGTCTCTAAGCCCGCGAAGGATCTTGGCACTGTGGGTCGACTTTGCCTCTTCATTCAGGCTCTGAAGATCATACAAGAGATTGGTGATCTCTTCCATATCGCTCTTGATTGGTGTGACTTCAAGGAAAAACTGAGAGAGGTTTTCTTGGTCTGATGGGTTGAGTTGGCCTTGGCCTGCTTCAACATCAAGATCGGCTTCGAGGTCCTTCTGTGCCTGTTTCTTCAATTCCACATAACTTAAGAACGATTTAGTCATCAAATCATTCATCTTTGCTAAGAATTTGCAAAACCCACCTGCAAAAAAATTAGAAAAAATTGAAATTTGGACAGAAATGCGCTCGTTGACAAAACAAACAATATGAAAATGAAAACCCAGTAGAAACTGAAGAGAGATTCACTGAGCATATTACCCTCTCAAATTCAAGAACCGAATCTTCTTCTCAAGAACACAACACTTCTTTGTTACTCTGCTCCAAGAGAACTGAATTTCGCACATGAAAATGAGACAGAAATTGAAAAAAACTAATCAACGAGAACCAAAAACCATGTAGAAACCACAAAAAACATACAAAACCAATTTCATAAAACTTTGCAGGTTCAAGGTTTGAGGCCTATCAGAGAACAAGAATTAAAGAAATAAACGAAGAAATAAAAAGTGGGGTTTCGTGAAAACCTTGAAGAACTTTGATGGCTCTGTTTCTAGCGCCGACTGTTACTTTCTTATCACTGTCACTGTAATTTTGACAGTGGGGTTTTGGAAGAAAATGTAATCCAAGAACAGAGAAGAAGAAACTCTCCGATGAATGTGCGAGAGAGAGTGTGTGAGAGGAGGGATCGCAATCTTTTGGGTTGGTTTTCTTTGTGTAACCGCTTAAAATTTAAATTGCCGTTGACGATATATAGCCGTTAATATTTGTTCTTTTGGAAGGGCGGAGGACATGGACGACGCCGTTACTGAGGTGTTAGTTAAAACCGTTTTTCTTATTTGAATCAATTTTTTTTTATCTTTATCCATTTGTAGAAGAACGTGATATAAAAGAAAGTACGACTTTGGTTAAGCTAAAAAAGAACAAAACTAATTACACCTTTGTTTGTTTTTTTTTTTTTGAACCTAAGCACGTGGACTGAGGGAATTTGAACCTTACAGGAGAAACTCTGAAGCAAATTGAATTTGTTCGTATAGCCTTTACGAAAATTAATTTAGAGAGTATAGCCGCACGGCTATATAAACCGCGCGGCTATACTATTTTTAATATTCATATATTTTGACTGTACAGCCGTGCGGCTATACTCTTGAAATTTATCCGAATGTTTTAAACGTAGCGCCGCGCGGCTATACTTTTAACAATACAGCCACTTGGGTATACTGTTAAAATATTCTAATATATTTAGAGCGTATCGCTGTGCGGCTATAGTCTTCAAATATTAAACAGTACAGCCGGCCGGCTATACTGTTAAAATATTTGAATATATTTAGAGAGTATAGCCGCGCGGCGGTACTCCGAAACTTTCGAAAAAATTTAAAAGGTATAGCCGCGCGGCTATACACTTTAATACGTCTAGCACTTTCGAAATGCATTAAACCATATCAGATACGGTTGCCCAAAAAAAATAGTTACGGTGAATGGGTAAATTGGTACTGGGAAAATAACTGGATAAATATAATTGCAATAAGTTATTAAAAAATAATACGTAAATCACTATCACAATTTTACATACAATCACACCAATTTATGAAAGATTGTGATAGAATTTTAATTTGTATGAATATAAATCCAATTAAAATATGCAATAATAATTAATATTTAATAATTATGTGGTAGAATAATATTAAAAAGTGCCAGGAACTCGTCTAAAAACATTTTATTAATTTCTCAAGTGGTGATTATAACTTAAGATTGCTACAAAGACAAATCTTATACTTGCATAGTTTCCAGAAACATTTTTCAGAAGTAAGGGCTAGGTTTACACCGGCTGTTGATTCTTCGCCTTCTCCACTTCAAGGCTCCTTAATGTTGTTGAACTAAGCTTATCTCCACTAGATGCTTCAGAAACTAGATCTACAACTTCAATCTGCACAAGATCCACAATTAAGGACTAAGCATCGTAAAGGTTTTCGAAGTAAAATTAAAAGAAGTCAACTTTTGGTAGAGAAAAGGATCAAATGCACAGCTACCAACTCAAACCTTAAGTTGTGAAAGGCCTCTGTCCACTCTCTTCTTATTAACAGACAGTCCACCGGGCAAAGTCTCCTTGCTGCCAGAAACCAAATCTAGAAAATTAGTGAAGAAGTAACACTCTCTCACCGCTGCGAGGGAGACTCAATAATGAGTTTTATGTCGTATGCAAGCTGAGGTAATTCAACTTATTCCCTTTTTAAAAGGAAAATCAACTAGGGCAGATCAAAGCCAGACTGATTAGGTTTGAACATTAAACCAGGTGATGATCTGCACCAAAACTCCAAAGTAACACATGAACCTCAAGAGTCAAAGGGAGGACAAGCATATCAAGCTTTGCATCTAAATGTTGATGAAGTGCTACTGGGCAACATTATCAGAGAATTAAGAAGACTCAAAGAACGGATGTAAATCTGAAACAAACCTGACAACAATTGCCTCCAAACTTTCATCAACTATTGAGGGGCCATAGGGATCCGTAATAGGTTCAACTTGCACCGCCAGCCCCTGCTTGATAGACTGCAAATATTGGCGGAAATTGAGGACTGAAAGTATCATTATACAACATAAGATAAGAACACGTTTTTTATGGAACAACCAAGCCGCAGCAAAACCATACAGAATTATTAAATGCATTTCCCCTGATCTAACAAGGTTGATGTTCCAGGTGTGTCACCGCCTACTCCAGTTTCAGTAACCTTTAACAAAATGAAATACCATCAAAGGCCACCTGCTGAATCTAGAGACCTAAGTAGATGGGTATGAGCGTGAACATGGTGGTGGAACACATGAACCTATTTCAAACACACAACCTCAGCTACAACAGAATGAGCTGCATTGCTGGCATTTGGATAGACGATTCAAAATGAGGGATAAAGAACAACTCAGTTGCAATTGCTTGCATCAAATGCTCAAAAAAATGATTCAACTAGCGGAATTCACATGGGCATTAGTAGTACTTCTGAAATATCATTAAACCATTTCTACTAAAAATGCAAATCCAAAATCTCTTCTTTTAGAAACAGTATTCCAGTTGCAATGTAAACAATTTCCTTGAACAGAATACCTTGATGTAATTTTCAACATTATGCCTCCTTTCCTCAATGGGTTGTATCAAATCAGCAAACTGCCAGAATGGGAAGAAAAATCACAACATTAATATCAAATCCACTTATCAACTAACTAAACTGTCTTCCAAATTACTAGTTTACCACTTACATTAACTTTACAACTATTCTGGAAAATCATTATCCACTAAAATTTATTAAAATTAAAATTCAACTTAAATCCAAAAAACTTGTGAAAATCTGAATGACGATCGAAAAAAAAAAAGAACCTGTTTTTTGTTCAACATGGGTCCGTCGCATAGTCCAACCACAATTCGATCCCTTGCCAGCTCCGCCGCTGCCTGGTTCCATTTCCACCATACCATTAAAATTTTCATAATGGAATTTTTAGCATCTTAAAATGCACAAACCCAAACAAAAGAAAATGAAGGAGAAAGAAACCTTGAGAAAAAGGCGATGGCCATCGTGTAATCGGTCAAAGGTGCCGCCAAGAACCACAGCTCCATATGTATTCGGTGGAGAGAGCTTGGAATTCACCGGCGAATCCTCCAAAGTCGCCATTTTGACGCACGAGTTTAAACTGGGAGGTGGGTTTGGTGTGGTAGTAGTTAGAGAATGCAAAGAAAGTTTTTTAATTTATTTTCCTTTGGTACGAAACGAAAAATCAATGCTTAAAAATCATCGCTTTTTGTGATTTTTTTGGGGTATGAAATGACAAATCAACACTGAAAAACCAGTACCTTTTTGGCTTAGAAAACTTGTTAAAAAAACAGTACTTCGAGTACAATGAACCTGGACGTTTTACTAATCAAAGAGCTTGAAGCTTTCCCTAGTTGCAATTATTTGCTCGGTGGAGAGAAAATACAAACAGCTTAGAAACATAAAACATGGTATTCAAATCATCCTGAATTTCCTCGGCACCCAAACCAAATCCAAGTGAAACCAATAGAATTATAAATTAAAAGCTAAAATAAAGCCGAACAAAATATCAATATTGATTCAAGAATATGAACAAACAAACAAAAAAGTTTCAAACTTGAGGGAGAGAGAGAGAGAGAAAGAGAGAGAGACAAGAACTGATCTGTGAGTTGAGAGTGGTATTCTGAGACGTAAGAATCTACGATGCTTTTAATGCTTTGAAGTTGAACTTTTTCTCCTATGTATGGGGCTGAGCAAGTGTTCCGTCTCTCTCTGAAATTGAAGAGCTTTGGTTCCTTAGTTTTCAACGTTCGCTTTCTATATGCCACCTGTGGCTAACTTTGGCAAAAATGCAACCAACTCAACTAAGAAATAAATTTTGATCTTTTCCTCCGACCTAAGCCGAGCTCACCGCATCCGCACAAGTCTAAGAGAACTAAAATTAAAGGAATTTGGACACAATTTCTCAGATTTAATGAAGATAACATCAAAATTTACAATGAAAAAGACGAAGAATGAAGCTTTACCCAGCAATTTCTTCAGGATGAGGCTTCCTTCTCTCACTTTCCCATAGAAATTGGATGGTGTGTACTTGTGACGGTCTGCCTTGCCCGCCATTTTCATCCTGTGGTTTTTACATTTTAGGGCTCCATTCACGAGTGGGTCATTTTTCTTTTCTCTGGGCTTTCGGGTATGGGTGGGCCTTTTGTTGTTTCTCCTAATGAATTATCTTTTAAATTTTGAGAAATAAAAAGTAAAAAATTTAATTAATTAATACTACCAAGTAATTCAAAAAACTTCTTTTGAGAAACGCAAGTCAACATAACATGTTTTCATCACTTTTCAAATTTACAAAATATTCTTCAAATTGAATACCAAACAGTTTTTAGATTTTTCAAATGGGATTGTGATTAGCACTTTTTTTATACATAAAGGTTGAAACTTTCATCACAAATTTGAAATCTAATTCTACTCTAGCAATACATACATGAACGAATGAGAAGCATCAAACAGTGAGCAGATTTGACAAACAATAAACCAGTGGGATATGCAAACTTCAGAAGATGCATGAGGCAAACTTCAGAAGATGCATGAGGCAAACTTCAGAAGATGCATGAGGCAAACTTCAGAAGATGCATGAGGCAAACTTCACAAGTTTCCAATGTGATATAAACAGACAATGAATTCTGGCACTCGTATAAAGATTAAGTAAATTGTTATCGTCAATTGATTTATAACCTCAAATAAGTTCCTGCACAACACACTGCATTTGCAGAATTTTATGCTGTCGTCTTGGAGGTAGCTAAACAATCTTTCAAGAAACAGTCGAGCTTTGAAGAGTAGATGTTGGGGAAAGTCCTGAAGTGGTCTACATGCGGTGATGAGCCGAAATTGAAGGACCTAACCATTCTACCCTTCCTCCTTTGCTCTGCAATGAACAACTCGATCGACTGATGCGGAACAACTCCATCAGCGGTACTATACAGGTAAAGTTGAGGGCAATAAGGAGTGTTTTCTGAGAGGATAGAAACTACCTTCGACAACCTCCTGCAAGAAAACCAACAGAAAGCAACTTAAGTCAATTTTTTACCCCTTTAATTGAGATGTTCTGCCCATTTTCTTTTACAGCCAATTATATATCAACTATCAAAACAAGATATTGAAACAAATGTTCGAACACAGAGTACTTACTTGTCCACGTCAGGCAACTTTAGAAGAACTGAGAACAGCTTCTCTAATACCAACAGAACCATGGATTCAACAATCAGAGGTTTCTCTTCTTGCATCTTTGACAAGCTCACTGCATCTTCAGACTTATTCAGTTCTCTAGCCTCAACCGCAGGGCTTGTTAAAGAGCTGCGTTTCTTCAAGATAGCAACAGAAAAGCCCGCTGCCCACACCTGTCAAGTTAAAGTGCAAAACGAAATAACATCCTACTTAATTAGAGACATATAGCTCAAGTTCTGCTCATAGTGAATGTATAATCATAAGAAAAGGCATAGTTGGCCAGTTAGATTAAAATGTATTCCTCTGATCCAATTTATTACACAACTTCCATCGAAACATGGCACACGATTGAGAAACCAAAAAAAATTAAAAATTTCATTGCGGGGTTCTAAGCAAGTCATTTCAGCTTCAACCAAATTGGGGTAATGTCTTATAGAAAACAAATCTATCTGATAAAAGTTTGACCAAACAAATCAAAAGCACAATCTAAGCAAACAAACTCATGCATTTTCACAACATTTTACATGGTAATCAACCAATATTTCAAAATGTAATAAAACCGTGATTAGAAAGAACCTTAGGATTAAAAGGCTCCGCTGCTCCTGAATCAACAACACATCCTTTAATCTTCTCCATCAGGTCTTGTCTACCCTGAAGAATTTCAAGAATGGCGCCATATCTGCCAAAAAGATCAACGACCTCTAAAAACCCAATTGTTGGCATCAGAGCACAGTACTAACAGAAAGCAAAGATTTACACAGCAAAGACATAAACAAAGAGTACCTACACAAACCAACCCGTATTGCTAAAAGTGTGAAAAAGCAAACACCTTTCTCTCCCATCCTCTACCCTCTCCTCCACCCACGAAACGAGCTCGTGGGCCAAATCCGAAACCCGTTTTTCGACCCGGTGGCCCAAATCAAACCAGAGCACCTCCCTCGCATCAACAACGAAGGTCACGGCGTGAATGCCTCTGGAGTTATACCACTCCACGTACCTCTTCAGGTGCTTGGTCTTGGCCCCAAGCCAACCCAGCAAGACGACGGTTACTTCTCGCTTTTGGGTTCCGAAAGAACCCACATTTCCATCAATGCCACTCTGGAAAGCTCGGTTCCATGTGAAAACGCCGTCGTGTGAGTGCGAGAGAGAGTGGTTGAAGTTTTTGATCGGGAATTGGGAAGAGAGAGAGAAGAGGAGGGATTGAAAGGGGTTTGTATGGGTGGAGAAGTTGAACGAGGACTGTGGCTGTGCGAGAGAAAGAGAAAAGGGGGTTCTTTTGACGACGCCGTTTCGAGCGGCAGTGTGAAATGGAAGTAAGGGATTTTGGGGTCGGAGAAGTTTGGGAGAGAATGTAAGAGCGGACGGCGTCATTTTGGCGAAGAGCTGGCGATTGAGACTGAGAATTCTCACTGGAGTTTCCATGGTACAAGTCTATGAATCGGATTTTGAAAACCGGTTTGCGATCACTTGGAGAGTATTGAAGAAACGACACCGTTGACTCAAAATGGCGGTATATTGTACAGAATGAAAAACGACATACCGTTCATGTGATCTCTCCTGGTTTGTGTCCACCACTCCTCCACAACTCGAAACGTGCACCAAGTACGAACCACAGGAAAAGCTCAAAACTTTACAAATTACACTCATTTTTGAGAGCCTTCACAACCATTTTCCAATGTCTTCCTCATGTGCCGTTTTGCCTTCAGCTAGAACAGAGCTCTTCAACCCAGTGCATGAAAGCAGGTTCATTGCCCCTACAAGACCATTTCAGTGCAACAGTAAGCTCGTTCACTTTATCTTTCTATCAAATCAAGAAAAGTTTCAATTTTTTTTTCTGGCTTGTGACTGATGAGTTTGTTGCTCTACTTGGAAGGAAGCAAATGTGTAATGAGCAGGAGGGGTTTTGCTTTTAGAGGAGTTGCAGCTTCAGGACTCTCAGTTGTGGGCTCTTCTTTGACTACTCAGCCTGTTGAAGGTTAATCAATCTCTTTGCTTGTTCTTTTTGTTTTTAGAACAATTCCTGCGTTTATTTTGAATTAAGTGGGAATGTTTTTTCACTATAGGTGTTGAAAGACTACCGTTCAAACCGGAGGGGTACAATTTTTGGACATGGAGGGGTCACAAAATTCATTATGTGGTGCAAGGAGAAGGGCCTCCTGTTGTTCTTATCCATGGGTTTGGTGCTTCTGCATTTCACTGGAGGTGAGGTTTGCTATTTTATGACCATCACCTTCTATTTTCCCTTCAATTTATATGTCACGTAAAATTGAAGAAACCAGGGGGAATTTCCTCTTTGCTTCTTTTGCTTCTGTGATTAAAACCCAATTGCTGTCAACTTGTTATAAAGCCTTAAATTGCAGGGAATTGGTTTTTCTTAACACTTAAATCTTAATTGTCTATTGAATGTGTTATTAGCTACACATTTATGTTAATGGTGGCTGTAAGTGGTATACTTTAATGCTGATAAGTTTTTACTCTCTCCATAATACAGGTACAATATACCAGAGTTGGCTAAAAAATACAAGGTTTATGCTATAGACTTACTGGGGTTCGGGTGGAGTGAGAAAGCACTTATTGAATACGATGCCATGGTTTGGAGGGATCAAGTCGTGGATTTTGTGAATGAGATAGTGAAAGAACCAACAGTTTTAGTTGGAAACAGGTAATCTAAACTTTATTTGGTTACATATGGTATCTTTAATAATTCATTTGTAACTAAGAAAACTTCAAAGAGCCGTGAATGGGGATGATCACGAATTTTGAACCATCAATCTATGTTGTCTAAATGTACCAGCTTAAAACCTGAGTTGAGGTTTTCCTGAACTTATCCAATTAAGAACTTCACTCTGGCATCTGTTCACAAGAGGCTAATTTCTTTGAGTTCATCATTGCAAGCTGGACAATGTTTTTATTATCATGTTTTCTTTTGAGATGGCAGTTCAACTAATGATTATATGACTCGCTGTAACTTTTCAGCCTTGGAGGTTTTACAGCTTTGGTTGCGGCAGCTGGGTTGCCTGAGCAAGTAATTGGAGTTGCACTCCTCAATTCTGCAGGACAGTTTGGAAATCCTAATAGTGAAGCCGAGAAGTCTGAGGAGGAAACAGCCCTGCAGAGGTTCATCCTAAAGCCCCTGAAGGAAATTTTCCAGCGGGTGATACTTGGATTTTTGTTCTGGCAAGCAAAGCAACCAGCTCGAGTTGAATCTGTCTTAAAGAGTGTAAGTCTCTTTCTAGTCTTCTCCTTGAAGTCGAGTATATATCATCCTTAGTATGTAAAACAAATGAATTAGCAAGCTTTTCTACCATTCTTGCAATTAATCTCACAGATATAAGGGCAGTTTCATCCCAATCCCCAGTATTTTGCAAGTCATTAACCCTCTTGCAATCATTGTAAAAGAGCCCTCCCACATTCATGATAAATATTTTGACTGTATGTTTTAAGTACTTATTTTTGCCAACGCAGGTGTATAAAAATACCTCCAATGTGGATGACTACCTGGTGGAATCCATAACAATGCCAGCAGCTGACCCAAATGCTGGAGAAGTCTATTACAGGTATGTGGAGATCTGATCGTCTCTCTTTTAGTCCTTCACACGAAAGCATCTAATAGAGATGCACTGAATAAGAATAATGCAGATTAATGAGATCTTGAAAATTTGGTCATGAACATTGGTGTCTAAGTCCTTCCTATGTATGTTGTCTTCTTATTTGTTTTGCGCAGATTGATGACCCAGTTCATGACAAACCAGACCAAGTATACTCTAGACAGTGTCTTAAGCAAGATGTCTTGCCCACTGTTGTTGGTATGGGGTGACTTGGATCCGTGGGTAGGTCCTGCCAAGGCCAACAGAATCAAAGAGTTTTATCCAAATACAACTTTGGTAAATCTGCAGGCCGGGCACTGTCCGCATGATGAAGTTCCAGAGCTTGTCAATAGGGCTTTATTAGATTGGTTATCAACTTCGACATCTGAGGCTGAAGCCGAAGCCTCTCTCCAAACAGTCTGAATACGAATTTATACTTGTAATACCAATTTAGAATTGTAAATTCATGAATCAAATAACTATTTTGAAGTTATCTCTCCATCTTTATGATAGCGTTTTTGAGCTTCAAGAGCGAGCTTCCTTCTTAGCTGCAACAACAGAACACTCACCCTAGGATTTGCCTCTTTGTTTTGTTTAAGGCATTGCATAAAAGAGCTTTAAGCCACTTTTTATTGCGCCATTTTGTCTGTGAAAAGAAGCAGTTCAGCTATGAGAGTTCCAATGGCTTCCACATGTTCTGTTCATACCTAAACCACCAACGGGGCCTTTTTTACTTTAGTCACCAAACACCCAAAAAGGCATGAAAACCAGACAACACACGACTTCATCCATAGAATAATTACACATTTGTGTCTCATCAAGAAACTTTTTAGATTTTAAAGCTCATTCGAAGAGGAGAATTCGTTTCTTGTCGTTCTTGTAATTGGCTTATTAAAGGCAGCATTGCAACACGGCCTTTGGCGATGTCTCGGGTCTATAAGGCACATCAAGAATCCCGAAATTGATCATATAGGGAGGTCATATGTGCAGGATAATAGTGGTTATTATGTTATGTGCATGCCCTTCATTAAAAAAGGATTTACATACAACAACAACAAAATGCACGTTGGGTGGGTCTTTGAAATAGTTCAAATCATTTTGATAATAATAAGGTTGATCAGTCAAGCAACAAACGTAGTTGTTTGTGTAGGCGGAATCGAGCTTCAATTCATAAGCTGATGATATATGTGTTGCAAGTAATGTTATATGTACCACATTTACCGAGTATGTTGTTGATTGCATTTCCGACGAAAGATGTAACTAGTTTGATAAAACCTAACAAAGGGTAGTGCCAGTGTGTTTAACTGGAGATAAACGAAATGAATCCAAACGACAACTTCTGCAGACAACATGGCGCGGATTTAGGAATATATGCCGTTATAGCCGCCATGCAAATGCCGCGCAGTTATTCCATGCAAAGTTGCAATCTTTGCCTGTAAGCTGTAGCCCCATAACAGAGAGAAGACAAAGACTAAACCACAATGGCCAGCTTAGAAATTACAGAAAGACAAGCTTTTTTTTTAAAACATTATTTTCTGTTTCTAGCTGTAAATTTAGCAATCCCATCATATTTCATCGACATTGTTAGCATCACCAATGCCTCTCTTCTTTGTAAGCATCGCATCCGCATGGTTTTAAGCATCTCTGCCTTCATAGGTTGGTTCAATAGCACTTTCCTTAGGTACCCTTTTTCTTTCTTCTTCTCATTATCTCCTTTATCATTGTATAATAATTTATGCATGTCACTCCTTAGATTCTCAGATTTTCCAATGCCCCAAACCTCAGATTAATCTTGTCCTTGTGAATCAACAACTCTTTGATTTCTTGGCCTGGTTATGTTCCATCTTAGGAGCAACAGAAAATAGTGTGTGGTGTTCTAGCTGGTTTGTTTTGAGCTCTGGCGGGTGGTTAAAAAATGGAGAATAAATGGTCAAGGCATGGTAGAAATTCTGTGACTCCAGTGAAGCAAAGGAGGAGTGGATATGAGCCGTCTGATGCTGAGACTGAAATCTCAGATAGTCCATGGCACGGCGGCAAGATGAGGATTAATGTTGGCTTGGAATATGAAGGGACAAAAGCAGAGTTGGATTTGTCAAGAAACATTAGCCCTTTGAAGCAGAGCACGAGGCACTCTTCAAGAATTGAATATGATGGCCCTTCTCTTAGAGCTAACTCTGTAGTGAGCCCCGTTCGAAGAAGAAATAGCAGCAAGTCACCCTACAAGCCAAGGAGAGATGATGGTAATGCACGAAATTCACCGTTGGCGGGTTCTGATCTTCTTAGAAATATTAGCCCCTTGTCAAAATCTGAGCGCAGAAGACATGTTTCACCTTTCCAAGCTGAGAGAGGAGAGCATGATTTGTATGGCTTTGATGATGAGATTGTGGGCTCAAACAGAAAGCAACAGCATCACAGAAGGAACAGCAGAGAGGAGAAGAAACCAAACTACAGCAGGAGATCAACAACTGCTCCAAGACATAGATCACCAAGAGAAGTTGACCAACAAAACAGTTATGAGTCCCAAACACCAACTAAGGGGGAGAGAAGTAGAACACCAACTAAAGTGCAGAGAACACCATCACCATTGTCAAAAAACATGGCTCAGAAACAAAGGCCAGTGAACTCCCAGATGAAATCGCCGTCCGTTGGTGAAATCAATGAAATGCTTGCCAATGCAAAGCTTGCTAGAACTTCTCCAAATCCCATGTCCAATAACAAAACTCCAGTTTTTGGAAGCTCAGACTCCATATCACCAGGTGACATCTTCTTTTCTAGAGAGTGCACAGTCATGGCATTGCCAAGAAAGGTCTTGACGAAAAATGGTGATTTTGAGAGCCCCTATAGTCCCAAGCGCAAAATGGTTCCCCAGAGAGACTTTGCTGCCTCTCAACACAGAAGCAGAACAAATGGTAGTTATGATCTTAATGGTAATGGTAAAGGGACTCCATCCCCTTATGGCTTGTCACAGATGACCACTACCACATCAAGCTCCGCCGTGAGCAGGCAGAGCAGTGGTACGCTTAGCGTTGGAAGCGGCAAGAGGAGTGATGCAAGTGGGACCACAACGGCAAGCATGAGGAAATTCACAGCCAATCGAAGGAAAAGCGAAAGTCAGGCATGGTTTTCGTGTATGAGAAAGGGTGCTTGCAAGACTAACAAATCACCTGAGCGTGGTACATTCAATGAAGCTGCATTCATTGAGAAGGCATTTGTGGTTGAGAGTCTCAGACAGTTCTGGGCTGATAAGCACCAACCCGCTTCGTTGAATGGATTCACTTGCCACAAACAAGAAGCTCAAATTCTCAAGCAACTTGTGAGTTATGTTGGGACAGAATCTTCTTAAATATATATATTTTTTGTTATACATTGTGGATCATTTGCTTTGTGTACTGCTTGTTTTTTCTAGTTCCACACACTTTCTTATATGTTTTCCTCCCTACTTTCTTACTCATATTTTGTTGAGTTTGTAGGTGATTGACAACATCTCTCCTCATATTTTGTTCACTGGACCATCTGGTTCGGGGAAGAAAGCTCTAACAATGGCTTATCTACGAGAAACATATGGTGATTCAAGTTGGGAAGTATGCTTCTTTCATCAGATGCAATAACCTTGAAACTTTTTTCCTTGGACATTGGCTGACTTGATCTTCTCTTCTTCTTTTCTTTACTTTGTTTCTGCAGATATCTCATGATTTAAGATATTTCCAGGTTCAGGTATTCTGTACTGAAATAATGAACAAATTATCAACTCCGCGGTTTAACTTAGAATTTGCAAATGCTCATAACATCCTTAGGAAATTGATGTTTTCAATATAGTGAAGTGAAAATTTCTAATTGCTGATTGACAGAAAGAACTACAAAGGCTATTTTACTTAAGCAAAAAGCTAACTCAACTAATCCCTACCCTAACTACATGGATTGGTTGTTAATCCCTCTATTTTACCTTCTGCCACAATATTTTGGCTCATATTACCATCAAAATAAAGGCAGAAAAACACATCAGTAAGCTATACAGTTTTTTTTTTTTTTAAACAATTTATGGGAGCTCACATTGTCATATGCTGACAGGAACAAAAGCCAATCCAAGTAGTGGTTCCATTGACATCCAGTGCTCACCATGTAGAGCTCAATGTACAATTGGAAGCAAATGCTAGATATGCATTAATGGGTTTGGTCAGGGAAATAAACAATGAGAATGCAATTGCTCCTGAAGTCAGCTCTGTTAATTTCAAGGCAAATCATAAAGGTTCAATTCTCTAAACACATGCATAAATCCCCTCTAAACAGTTTGAACCGTTCACTCAAAGTCGAAGCTAACATGGTTTCCTTTGGTCCAGTGATGGTTCTTTACGGTGTTGACAAAGCAGCAGAGCATATTCAGCATTTGATAAAATGGATAATGGACTGTTACTCAGAAGCTTGTAAGCTCATACTCTGCTGTGAAAACGATGCAGCTGTCATCGAATCAGTGAAAAACCGGTGCAAGGTTATCAAGGTTGATGCTCCTGTAACTCATGAAGTAAGTATTACCTTGATTTTAGAGTCACCAAAATGCTTCTGTGATTATGTGTAAGTTCTGAGTTTTCTCTGTCATTACCCCCACTTTATAACTTCCCAGATTATGGAAGTTCTTATTCAGATAGCAAGGAAGGAAGACTTCGACCTACCTATGAGCTTTGCTAATAAGATTGCTATTAAATCAAAGCAGAACTTGAGAAAAGCAATCATGGGTCTTGAAGCATGCAAAGCACACAAGTAAGAACACAATGAAAAAAAAAATTATTAAAAACATTGTTGGATTGTACTCTGACTTATGTGGAGCTGTACCAATGCAGCTATCCTTTTGGAGATGATCAACCAATTCCGCTTGGATGGGAAGAGGTGCTGCTTGAACTCGCTGCTGAAATCCTAGCTGATCCATCACCTAAGAGGTAACAATTTCATTTTAGATTTTTAGGTACTCTCGACGTCCCGCGATATTTTCTATTTAACAATAGTTGAATTGATTTCCAAATTTGATCTTTTGTCAGATTATTTTTCATCCGGGGAAAGTTTCAAAAGCTTCTCGTTGATTTTGTGCATCCGAAACTGATTCTACTGGTATTGCATTTCGTACCTCAGAGATGTTCTTCGTAACTACTTGCTCACCAAAGTATAATTGTGTGATAGAGTTTCCAATTTCCAACATGCAGAAGCTCGTGGAACAGTTCCTGATGGGACTGCATGGTAGTTCTAAAAGGGAACTTTATTATTGGCATGCTTATTATGTAAGTTTATCTCCCTCGTTCCTTATTTTTGTCTTGCTGAGATGGTGAACTAACTTATATTTGTCCTTGCAGGAGAAAAGACTCCCAGCAGGAGCGAGTGCTTTACTGAAACTAGAAGGTAAACATATACAAATCACCAAAATCCTTCATCCAATTTGGGCACATAATCAATAATTTGGGCAGAGACCACTCTTGTAATAGTTTACTGGTTAATCATGCACTTTTCTTTTGCAGAATTTATGGCAAAGTTCATGAGCATATACCGGAAGAGTTCCAACAATCGTCAAAATGCTTAGCTCCACAAGCCCTCATTGAGAGTCCATCGTTTCTTGCCTCCTATGCATAGGTCGTTATCAAGATTGTGTTACTGCAGCTAATACCGGGAAAATCAAAATGAGACGGAGACAAATGCCCCTGGAAATTTTTTCTTAGGGTCATGGTGATCATGAAGACCTAGATATAGCATAAAACGAACACATTCTCTTGTTTAGCCTAAAAGAAATAAAACAACAGCATACTCATTCTCAGTTTGGTCAGTAAGTATTTCTTCTGACATAAACAATGATAAGCATGTCAATTAATATCTCAGTTCGCAAGAATGAAAACACAACTAAGGCACCCATCCGAATAAGAAGCAGCTTCTCATGCTTTGAAATTGCTTACAACAAAAACATTGGGCACATGCCCCCACACGCAGAACACTACAACATAATCCGCAGTTAGCTGAGATTCCAGGTTCAATGCTGTTTCACCCCATGTCTACTTTAATCTGCCAGGTAATCTTTATCGGAAGACCAGTGTAGCTTGAACCTTCATTAGGTCTATGGAAGTGATAGATGAACTATCAGGGCATCCTGGCAAGACCTGTCATCCACTTCTAAACTAGAGAGTCTAGCCCATGTACAAATACACTAAAAGAACATTACCTTCAAAGCATATTTAAGATCTCCAAACATATCTTTTTTTTCTTTAGTCACAAGATCTACAAATCAAGCATTTTTGTTTTTAGATTTGCAGAAAAGCTGCTCCCATTCAGTTACTTCTTCCCAGTGTACCGCTGTCAAAAAACAAATGGAGATAGCATATAATTAGACCATTCATAGTAGGGGATGCGTGACCTACATATGAGGGCCAAGCACAAAGATGGGAAGAAAGCACTAGAATATGATTACTCACCTGCTTTCCAATATCAAATGGAACATATTTGTATTTGATCATGTGTAGGATCTGCCGTTTCATTGTGAGGACAAATAGAACAATCCAGTAGCATAACAATATTGGCCAGAAAACAGGTACATCCAGCACAGAAATGAAGGTCAACATAAATGCAACAATAAATGCCTTTGTGATGGAATACCTGAAACCATTAAACAATTTCATTTAAAAAAATTCAAAATCAATACAACATCAGTACACTAAAACCATCCAAGATTCTTAACAATTGTGCCTCCAAAGAAATTAGTAAAGACGAGACAATTCAGCTTATTAACTGCTTTTCCTTTTTGGGGTGAGCCAGTTTAGTCATGAAGTTAAGGTATTGGATGGATGCATTCTACGTCTCAAGAACATGAATCAGGTTACAACAAGAAATCTCAAATTCATTTCTCATTTATTATTACTAATAATACTCCATGGCATAAACACCCTATCAACTCAACGCATTTAATAACTTCCACAACCTGATGGCTATAAGCCATATCAGCAAGGAGACCACCTCCAGCAGAACCATCCCTCAGTACTTAAGAACAATGTCAAAAGCTGAAACTCATATTATTCAATGTCAAAACGGTTTTCTACAACTAAAGTAAAACCTATCAAAGCCCATTGGTAAAAAGGGAAACATATGGTTTGCATACATTTCCAGTCAAGGACAAAGGGCATTATTACAAGACACTTCAAACGTTTATGACTGCTAAAAGATTCACTTACACAAACAAATGCAAGGGGGGTTTTATCAAAATGAGGAGCAGACCTAACATGAGAAATTGCAGTCACTAGTCCAGATACCATTACTGCAAATATGAACCAACAGAATGAAAGAAATTTACCAGAACTTAAACTCGGGAAGGCGGCGAACAAAAGGCCTAAACTCATCAGCACCTTTTGTTGGCAATGAAGCCCCATCCAAGGCTTCAAGCTCCGGGTCCACCTTCGGTGAGAAAAAGCCTATCAAGAGATTCAAGACATAGATCCCCAGGCCATAGGAGATAACATAGAACCCTTGAACATAGTACACACGCAGAATGTAAATCATTGCCACAGCAAGGGTTCCTAGCCACCGATTAACAGTGTGAGGCGTTGACCGATCCAAATAGTGCTGGAATGCTCTCGAAAAATCGCTCCTCCATTGAGCCAGCGGTGCCGCTGCTGCTCCTTCACTTCCTGGTCCCTCCATCGAAATCAGATTCTACGAAAAAACAAAAAAATTGCAACAATGTATAAATTAAAAGCATGATATGAACCAAAAATGACTATTTTTTACAAATTAGGAAACTAACCTAATATAGCTACTACTTCGTTTGCTCAACATAACATCAATGAGAAAAGGCGTGTGAAACGATGTTACAGTTTTCTCTTTTCATCTATCCCATTTTCCCAGGAAACAAACGGAGGGCTAGATTGCCCTTGTGCATAAATGAATTAACTGCGTTTTAAGCTAAACCAATAATAACTGAATCTGCGAGACAAAGATCAGCGAAAGAGCAAATTACCTGGTGATGACTGAGTTAGGGTTTCGAAAAGTAGACAAAACGAGGAAGATGATGAAATTACGACAGTTGCCACCCAGCGTCAGCGATTGGCTCTCGTGGTCTGTTGTTCATAAAGCTCTGGGAATGGGATAGTGGGGATTTACCCGCGTCCAGCTTCGTGAGTAGGCCTAACAATGGATAGGGTCAACCAGCCCATTTTGGCCCAAAGACCAAGGGATGGGTGGCCCGGGTTTATGTGATCCTAATTTGGCTCGTACGCGCGGCTATATTCTTTTTTATAAAAAAATTCCAGAGTATAGCCGTGCGGCTATATGAATGGCATAGCCGTACCATTTAATAGCGTAATCATGTCAACAGTATATTTCAAAAAAATTCAAAAAAACGACCCCAGTAAAGCCGTTCGGCTATAAAAAAATTTATCAAAAAAAATCTAAGGTATAGCCGGGCGGCTATACTACTTATAAAAATTCAAAAAAGGACGCCAGTAAAGCTGGTTGGCTACTCTTTTTAATACAAAAAATTCCAGAGTATAGCCGGGAGGCGATGCTATTGAAAAAAAAAGGGCCACGCCTATCGCCTAGTGCCCAGTGTGTGTTTTTGTGAAAAGAGTATAGACGTGCGGCTATACTCTGTAAATAGAATATTTCCAAGTATAATAATAGCATAATCTTAATTTCTCTTTTTTAAATAGTTATGTTTCAATTATTATTTACTTAGTGAATAATTAGTATTTAAATATTTAAATATATTTTATTTTTATTCAATAATATGTGGGTGTTTTGTGTATAATATGTAAATTTTGTGAGTAATATTGAAAATTTTGTATAAAAAAAAGTGTATTAAACATGAAAAATATGTACATATGCAGGGGCGGAGCCACACTGGGACCAGTGTGGTCCCGGGCCCCCACTCAAGTTTTTTTATATTTTAAAATTAATATACTGTTATGTATTTGTATTTGTATATTATTTCAAATACTTTACGTTTTGATATGTACCAACATGTATTGTAGCGGACTTATTAAGGCACAAAGAGGTAGTTCAAATTGTGCATTTGCTCAGATAGTGGTGATGCACTCCAGGTGTACAGATTACCTTATTTCCATTTTCAACATTTAAGTAAATGTCTTTGTCATTTGACTTTAATTTATTTTTATATTACTCCATTTACTTAAGTTTACGATGTAAATAAGGAAGTACCCCCTATTTGGATTCAAATAAAAAGACTAGAAAATCAAATTCCCACCAAATCAAAATATGAAAAATCGGTTGTGTAAAATACGATTTAGGCTAAAAATGATGGCTCATTAAGTCAATATATACTTCATACTAAAATCCCATAAAATCAAGTTTTCTTATTTCATGTGTAAAGAATAAAAGCCGCCAAAAATTATCTTGAGAAAATGATTATTCTGAAAAACCATTTTTCATACTTAGTCAATATTTTTTTATGTATGATATAAATGCATAAAGGGACCTAAGGTTGTTTCTAATTTGGAAAATTTTGATTTTTTTTTCTTTCTATTGGGTTTAATGGGGGGAAAAAGCTTTAAAGATATTTGCTAAATCGCTAGTATTTGTCTATCTCTTGCAATTTTTCTTGCTTAGAATGTATTTGTCTATCCCTTTGTTGAGAACAATTATGATTGCAACCAATAAGCAATATATGTTGTGGCTAAAGTTCATTTCCTAAGCATTAAATGCATGTTTCCTTAAGTAGGAGTCTATTTTGAGCCCCAATACTTTGTTGGGAGAAATTTTTTCACAAAAGTGAGGGCTCAAGGCCTCCACACACATGAAATCATGGCTTCGCCACTACATATGTGTACAATACGAGTATTAAACGGCAAAATGCTAAATTCTTTATATGAGTAATAACTCTGGAAAAGTAAAAACTCAAAAAGGGACAATAGAGACTCTGGGTAATGACCTAATAGTAATGGATAATGTTCTAAACTACTCATATTGTTAAACAAAAATTTGGGAAAACAATTATATATAAAAATAAAAAAAGATCACAGTATCTATTTCAAGAGTATAGCTGCTCGCCTAGACTATTTATAATAATAAAACGACCCCAGTAAATTTTTTATCCATGAAATGGACTTTAAAAACACACTTAAATCTCATTTACAACATAATAAAGAGACTTTGAACTTCCTATAATTTACAAAACTGCCATCGATTTTCTTAAAACAAGCCCAACCTCAAAACCTTAAAAAAAACCAACACTCAAAACAAAAAATAATTTAAATGATATAGTGTTTAACTATAACGCTAGTGCTAAAAATGGGTATATAACTAAATATTTTTATTTTTATTTTTATTAAATTTGTAAAATTATTTTTAGAATGAATATGTTTGAGATCATTTCAGAAAAAAAAAAAAGCAATGAAAATTTATAAAAAAAACAAAATCATATTGCACAGTAACTATAAAGAAACTACCATTCTCAATCTCATTCCAATTTGTTTTTTACTATTTTATCCCTTATTAATTAAGTTATTTTATTTTATAAACTTAATTAACGAAGAGCAATTCTTGGCATTTTGAATCTTTTATGGTTTTTTCTGTGTTTTGATTTATATATATAGATTAAACAATTTTTTAATGATAGCATGCATATTGGCAAGCCCTTCTTCAATGGCTGTAAGTGGAGAAGCAAGTTTACGCAAACTTTTATCATGAGTGAATAATAATTTACAAAAGTTTTGTTGTTTTGCTGGAATAATTTCCAAAAGTTATCATAAGTGTTAATCGAAAAAGAAAAAAGGTTAGCGTACGTGTAACACTATGATTGGCTCCGTATTTTCGTTTAGCCGCTGTAAGAGAAAAAGCTTATTTTTGCGCCAAAGTTCCAACTTGGGAAAACATTCTCTGACGCTTACCGAAATAGTGGCCGTCCGATTGACTCCGATACGATCCAACGACTGGTATTGACTTATGACTGACCGCTGCAAGAAGTTGACAGCAGCATCTTCGTCCTTCTTCCTTTAAATTAAGCTCAGAGCTATCTCAGTCTCTTTTTCACATATACACGCAAATTCTAGAACCTATTTTTTGCTGTGCATTTCTGGTGCTCTGTAAGTTCTTCTTATCCCTTCTTCAATGGTTTCAGAGATTTTTGGTTTCCTTTTTTTGCTCTTTTTCATGGCGTAGTCTATGGATTGTGTGCTTGGTGTTCTGCTAAATAGAAAAATTAAGCGGAACCCATTTGATTAAATTCTTCCAATACTGCATCTGGATGGAAATTCTTGGTATCTGTTTGATTTTCTTTGATTGGGTTTGTTGCGTTTGTATTTGAAATCTTAATCGTTTGCATTCTCTGGGTCTGTTTTGAGTATGCTATGCATGAAGATTTCAATTTTGTGGTTCTTTGTTATTGTTGAATCAGTGTTCATTTTCGTTTTGTCTTGATTCTATCTCTTTCATTTCTGAGGTTTTCTGAGGTGTTAATCTCTTACATGCAATCGGTATAGCATTGGGGATTGTTATATCTATTTGTGTTGTGAATTATAAAATTTGACGTGGTTTCTGAGACTTCCAATATTTTGAGTGAAAATCTAGCAGTCTTTTCTTGTTCTTGATTTTCATATTTTGTATGTTGTCGCTTGATTTTGAGAGAAATTCCACTTTGTTAATAACAGAAATTCACTATGCCATGATTTCCTGCCCTCATAAGTCCTTATTAGTCCTCTGCCATGATTTTTACTCACCGAAATTCACTATGCGTGTGTAATTACTCCATGGGTAAAATATGATTTATTCAAGAAGATTGTGTGGTAAGGTTTCTTTTTGTTTTCTTTTTTTCCAAGGCTTTCTGTAAGGGGTGAATATGGCTAACAGTGGTGGAGAAGGGAGTGGAAAGAATTCAGGATTTCCTCATGTTGTCCTCAATGAAAGAATCCTTTCTTCAATGTCACGGAGATCGGTTGCTGCTCATCCCTGGCATGACTTAGAGATTGGTACCATTTCTTTGGGCTTTTTGACTTTCATTCTCGACTCTCTCCTCTCTTTTTGATTGGCTGGGCATTACCCTGAAAAATTAGAGACCCTAGGGCTTTATATATAGAGAGAACTTGGTTTTTCCTGTTACAACACGGAGAGAGTGATGAGCATTATTATAAGTAGTGTTTTGTGCGCGTGTGTGAGAGTGGTTGAGAGAAGCTTAGATTTTCTTGTGTGTGAGGCTGTTGTTAAAGAGTTCAATGCATGAGTTGAGAGAGAGACTCACATGTTTTCATCTGTGCAGGACCTGGTGCGCCAGCAGTTTTCAACGCTGTAAGTTATTATTTGTATTAGTATTTGTTGTTCCTTTTGATAAATTTCATCATGCATATTGGTCTCCTCATTTGGGAGATTATGTTGATAGTCTGCACATGAATGTGGTTGAGGAGATTTAAAACCATTTAGAATAAAATTGTGTGATGCCTTGCATATCGTTGTGGTGGATGAGATTTAAACCTTCTAGAATCAGGTTTGTGTGATGCTTCTCTTAGTGGATGATGAATTCCATAATCGTCCTCAGTTGTTTAAAGATAAAAAAAGAATTATATATTCTATCTCAAGATTCTGTAACAACAGTTATGTACTAATCCAAATGTGAATTTCTGTGGCAGGTTGTTGAAATTAGCAAAGGCAGCAAGGTTAAGTACGAGCTCGACAAGACAACTGGCCTCATAAAAGTGAGACTCTTCTTCTTCTTCTTTCCTAGATGACAAGCTGTTGCCTCTGTCATAAATATTGAACCATGTTTATTCAATTACAGTTAGAGAATTTCAAACAAGTTCTATATCATTACCCGATTTACATTATTATTGTCATGGTTGCTAAGGTTTTCACATCTAATATGAAATTTATGCCTCTCATGGAGGACACTAATGCACAAGGATCTTTAATGTAGGTTGATCGTGTTCTTTACTCATCAGTTGTTTATCCACACAACTATGGTTTCATTCCCCGAACCATCTGTGAGGATAGCGATCCTATGGATGTACTGGTACTGATGCAGGTAAAGTCATTTCGACACATAATTCTTTCCACAATGAAATGAATCTGATTTTGGTGCATTCGGTTGAACTTGTTAAATACAATCTTGGATTTTCCACCCATATAGGAGCCCGTCTTACCTGGTTCTTTTCTTCGTGCTCGTGCTATCGGATTAATGCCCATGATTGATCAAGTAAGTGTTTATGTTTTTTCTGTCTCATTTTATCTTATTTGACTGGAACATCAGCGCCACAATTATTGAACCTTTGGGAGTAGATGTTATTACTCTTCAGGGGAAGCTAGGGATTTGATCTAGGACAATAAAAATGAAGCTTTTAATGTAATAAAGGAAGGAAATTTGGTTTCATTTCACTGTGGTTTTTCACTAGCTTCCATCAAATTCACTCTCTCTCTCTCTCTCTCTCTCTCTCATTGAGATCTGATTCCGTACATCCAGAAGTGGGTGTAGCTATCGATAACATGAGTTCTATTGCAGGGTGAAAAGGATGACAAAATTATTGCAGTATGTGCTGATGACCCTGAGTTCCGCTACACCAAGGACATCAAGGATCTTCCTCCCCATCGCCTTGCAGAAATTCGTCGATTCTTTGAGGACTGTATCCTATTATCTCATGCTTGCTATCTTTACTTTGGTTGGCAGTATTCAACAAAATCTCATCCCATTGCATTGAAACTGTTTGCACATCTACTAATAAAAATCACCTGATATCTATTTGCATGATTTCAACCATCCATTAAATTTGTGGCAGACAATATGTACTGGTTCTTCTGTATGTTCTTAACTCAGTATTATGATAGACAAGAAGAATGAGAACAAGGAAGTGGCTGTTGAAGACTTTCTACCTACTGAGGCTGCCATCGATGCCATCAAATACTCCATGTGAGATAAAAATTTTAGTTCCTCTCTGTTCACAGCCATCTATGATAATTGCAAAGGGAACTTAAATATTTCATTTCTACACTTTTCTTAAAAGGATGTCTTGTGTTGCAGGGACCTGTATGCATCTTACATTGTGGAAAGCTTGAGGCAGTAGCTAACCTGGTGGCTAATTAGTGAAATGGCTGAAACCATTTAATAATGTAGTGAGGCTTAAAGACTTCTTGCAGAATGCCTCTGTATACAAGTTCTTATTCCTCAACTACCAAACCATTTCTCTGGATTTGAGTGGAGACGTTATGCTGTACTTTTGATCATATCTCTTCTAAAGACTTGTATGTGTTGATGCTCTTTGGAGTAGTTTCCAAGTATTGGCTTCCTCGGTAGTGAGGAGAATGCACTATCGAAATGGTACAAATAATTTCTTCCATTTTGGATGTAAATGTTGCCTTTCCAATAGTGTTTGGCTTCCTGGAAAACATATTATGCTCAATGAATCTAGATTGGGATTGCATAACTCAAATAACCTTTATTGGCACTGTTCTCAGATACATTTTAAGTTTTCTAATTGAAATAGGTGAAATTATTGAACCTTCTTGACTTGTTATGTCCTGCATAGAATTCCATTCCACTTCACTCGTTAAGCTTCAAACCTTCAATTATTAAGGAGGGGAAAAAAAAAACAAATACAAAAATGCTTCATTGACTGGGGAGGGGACTTCTTTTTTACCCGAAACAAACAAGGGTCATCTTCAAAACCATCTCTACTTCAGCGTTGTAAATGAAATCAGGGACGCACCTAACCAAACAAAAGAAAATATATGAAATTAAGCAAAGGCATTATTTATCTCGTTTTTGAGTGAAAGTATCCCCAGCTGACGTCTATAATTTCTCCAATATCCACGCCCCAAATCACCCATCCCCTGCATTTGTCACCTGCAGTTAAATGAGTGACACGTGGTGTAAAGTGAGAGATCACATTAAGAAACTGTAGGCAGAGCCGTAGACAATAACAGTGACCAAAACAACGAGTGAGGTGAACTAGGTGAGGTACTAAACGGCGCGCTTTGGTTCGGTGCCATTCTTTCCTTCTTTGGGTAGTGAGTGAGCGCGAGTCGAGCTACCTCCTTTGTTGGCCAACATTTCCATTCCATTTGTCAGCAGCAACAGCGAGCGCTCTCGTCCTTATCGATGCTTTTGCTTCAACGCCTACAGCTGAGAGCCTGAGACTGAGCCCAAACACACGCCTCCACCTACATCTCAGCCCCCTAAACCCTCACACTCCTCACAAAATCTCCAATCTCTGACGAAGATGGGGACCCTGGGCAGAGCAATCTACACCGTCGGTTTCTGGATCCGCGAGACCGGCCAGGCCATTGATCGCCTCGGTTCCCGCCTCCAGGGCAACTACTACTTCCAAGAGCAACGTACGCCTCCCAATCCTTCTCCTTGAACTCAATTCCTCCAAACCCTAACCTGCACTGTCACGCACAAATGCACACGAAAATGCACAATCTTGATACTGTTGCTTTTGTTTATCGAATCGAATTTTGAGATCTAAGAGGCGTTGGGTTTTGCGTGATTTTTTTTTTGGTGTGATTGCTTGTTCAGTGTCTCGGCATCGGACGTTGATGAACGTGTTTGACAAAGCTCCGGTGGTTGATAAGGACGCATTTGTGGCGCCCAGTGCGTCCATCGTAGGCCAAGTTCAGGTGGGACGAGGTTCCTCCATTTGGTACGGTTGTGTTTTGAGAGGTATAACTATTTCTATGAATTTGATCATTTACTTTATATTATTTTTGTTAGCATTTTCTTTTAGAAAATTGTACTCCTTGAAAAGCAGGCCAAGTTTGATGTTAGAATCTAATTATGAAAAAAAGTAGGCCAATTTGGTGTTATGATTAAAGCATAATCATTTATTTGTTGTATTTCTCTGATTGTGGTTCCTGGTGTGAAGGTGATGTTAACAGCATCAGCATTGGGTCTGGGACCAACATACAAGATAATTCCCTTGTTCATGTAGCAAAGTCTAACTTGAGTGGCAAGGTTTTGCCCACTGTAATTGGAGATAATGTCACTGTAGGTGGGTTACATTTCGTCCCGTGTTTCCGAAAAATTTTGCTTTGCCTTTATGCTGATTGGGGTTTATGTTAAGGGTCTAACTTCCGTGTTATGGTTTTCAATTTGAACTATACAGGTCACAGTGCTGTCTTGCATGGATGTACTGTAGAGGATGAGGCATTTGTTGGCATGGCTGCAACCTTGCTCGATGGGGTTTATGTTGAGAAACATGCCATGGTTGCTGCTGGAGCCCTTGTAAGGCAGAATACAAGGATTCCCTGTGGAGAGGTTTGTCAAAGCTCCCTTTTTTTGCCTGGAATTTGACTAGTCAATCGAGTTAGACTGTTAGTACAAAGTTCGCATAGGAAGCATCCAAGTGACTCAGTGAGCTGACATCCCTTAAATGAATGCAGTCTTTTGTGTTTTTGTTTTTTGGTTTATCCTACATTCACGACGGACTAGAGAATTTTAAAAGTGATTTGTTCTGATTGTTAAATAACAGGTATGGGGAGGGAATCCAGCAAAGTTCCTGAGGAAGCTGACAGAAGAAGAGATGACCTTCATCTCCCAGTCAGCCATAAATTATTCCAACTTGGCTCAGGCTCATGCAGCTGAAAATGCAAAGAGCCTTGATGAGATAGAGTTTGAGAAGGTGCTGCAAAAGAAGTTTGCACGCCGTGATGAGGAATATGACTCTATGTTGGGTGTTGTTCGTGAAACACCAGCGGAGATTACTCTTCCTGACAACGTACTGCCAGGCAAAGTACCGAAGACTGCTTAAAAGTGTCTATGATTGATGTTGGTAAATGAATGGTACTCTCGGGATTTAGTGTAAGTGAGTATTTTGTTTATGTGCGGATTTAAGGCAAATGGCTGCTTTACATTTCCAATAATTTTGGGGGCCATCTGAAGTGTGAAGCTCAAACATGGAGTACATCTCTGGCTGGCATATGGCTCTACGTAATTTTCTGATTGATCAGCAACTTCATTTTCTATTTTCGAGGAGGAAAAACAAAAACTGCTATAATAGAACATATGTTTGGATGTTTTCAAAGCATCCTGGAAGGTCTCTTAGATTTGTAGTTTTAGAGCTTTATTGCTTTACATATGTTTTATGAAATAAAGAAACTGAAATCAGGCATCGAAGCCTGCAAATGCTTTTGGTGTAGCTTTGATTAATTGTACTTTTGTTCTCAACCATTGAAACGAACAGAGGCTTAGGCCAAACGACCATCTCTTTTTGGGTTCCCTTCCCCTTATTTGCATCTGCCTGGCCGGCCCGGAAGGAAGTGGCCTTTAGAAGTTCAGAAAAAGAGCACATAATGTTTTCTACTTCTGGTAATCAAAAGAGAGTTTGCCGCTGATCGAGCTTGCATTTTTAACTCAGTCTAAGCTGAATACCAAATAATTACACTAGTGAGTCATTTGCACTAACTCAGATTATTTTGGTAAATATCACGAGGTGTCCTCACACCCAAAGGGTGAGATTAATCCCCGCTCAGGGTTCGGCTTGACCTTGGTCACAAAGTACTTCCAATGGGTTTTGAACTCTTGTCATTGAGGTACCAGGTAGTTTGCCAGCTGGAGGTATCAGATTATTAATCATATAATACATTATTGGAAACATGTGGAATTGTGATTTGTCTGTAAAAAGCGGGTTTTCTGCTAATAACTTGAAAGTTTGTGCTGCAATAAAAGGTGAACTGCAGATCTCCAATACAGCCCAAACTGATTGCATTCCTACAGCCCAACAGAGCCTGCTATACTGTACTCAATTCTGTGGACTGAGCTTGAGAGAGCTATAATTTTTTATTTTCTCGGACTTGGGAAAGCCATAATTAATAACATAGTGGATGATTATGATCATCGTTAAGTTAATAATGACCTTTCTAAGCCAAAAAGAAAAAGTTGAAGCTTGGGTCGCTTCTACTCTCAAAACTTGAAAGTTAAAGTTGTCTAGGTACCTAATAATGAGTACTAACTAGCATCATCTCAAAATTTTAATTGGATTACTTCTCCAATCCAAAAATATAACCAGTTGACAAGTGAACCCAAAAGTGATCACAAATTTCAAATTCATGTGGTTAAAGGTGTCCGTCTTGATCCCACGCAAAGCTTGTTTTTGCTTTAGCCCTTTTTGGAACTCTTGGCAGTTGGTAAATGGTGCTCCTTGGTACATTGGAATTTGCTTCATAATTGTCCCATTCACAACTATTTGAAATAATCATTCACAACCATTTGCTCATTCTTTGATAATACGTCATGGGTTCAAAATTTCCAATTTTCATCTTCAACATATTTTCAAATATTTCGTGCTGGGTCGGGCTGCATCTATTTTATATGCACTGGTCGGTCTCACCACGTATATAATGGACTTGCGAGTAAGTAATGATGTTAACTTCATCTACATTGTTGATTCATTCTCTAATAACTTCACAAACCATCCTTCACTTTATTTGTTCTTTCAAATAAGATGGGGGGCATTCTTCACTTCATTCTTCTTCCCCAAAACATACGACATTTTAAATTTATGTGCCACCCCACTAAGCAATTATGCCCACCACGTCCTACAGAATTCAACTTTGTAGAGAGCACCAAGCCCCTGTATTTGCGCTCTTGCCCTCATGGGACAATTCCTCCCTCTACAAGATACTGGATAGTATAATGACTGTATTCATTATTATTATATTTTCTGCATCATTAAACAAACAAAGAAATCCATTTTTTAATCTCCAGAATGATGACTTTTGGTGCTTTTGGCTGAATGCCACTGTCATAAAGTGGCAAACACAAGGGCCCAGAAAGACCCCCCCTTCTTTTCTGGTATTGGTATTTGGCATTTGGCATGAGGCTTCTGGGAGAGCCAACCCTTTGGGGTTTTTTATAATTCAAAATTTCAAACCTTTGAAGAAGAAAAAAGAAATTTGTGTCAGAAGTACCCCATGTAAACTGTTCAAACTTCAAACACATTGTATTTTGTTTGAAAAAAGAAAAAAGAAAGAGGCAAACCCACATTTTCTTTGAATCTTTGAATCTTTGAATCAGAAAAAGAAATTCGTTTTCTCTGTTAAAAAAAAAAAAACAGAAGGAGAAGAAGAAGAAGCCCTCTCTGTGCTTTTTATATAAATTGGACTGGTTGACAGGCTATGCGGGGACAAGTGCCAAAGTTAATATAAAGAAGAAGATACTATCCATGTTTAGCTGCATTACTAAATCACGTTCGGATTCCCAGAACCTTGTTTTAATCCTTTTTATCGTCATCTTGTCCTGCTTTCAGACAGAGAGAGACAGAGGTGTGCTGTTTCTTTACCTTCTTTGGAATATGCAAATCCTAGACAGGTCTTCAAAACAAGAAACTGGTTTTCTTTAGTTTGAGGTGTATCTGTTAAAAAAATCAAATAAATTATTGCTGCCCAACAGGCTTTATAGGGAAGGTTTGCTTCCGACAGTGGTTATTCGCGTGAA